GGGATATGAGACACGGGACATGGGATACAGGAGATGGGGATATGGGATACAGAACATGGCATACGGGACGTGGGACACGGGACATGGGACATGGGGCATGGGGATACAGGATGTGGGACTTAGGGATACAGGATATGGGACACGGGATATGGAGATATGGGATACAGGACATGGGAATACAGGACGTGGGACACGGGATACAGGACTTGAGACACAGATCATGGGACCCAGGATACAGGATACAGGATATGGGATACAGGATATGGGACATGGGATACAGGACATGGGAATACAGGATATGGGACATGGAATACAGGACATGAGGACACAGGACATGGTACACAGGATACAGGACTTGAGACACAGAACCTGGGGCATGGGATATAGGACATGGGATACAGGACATGGGAATACAGGACATGGGACATGGGATACAGGACTTGAGACACAGAACCTGGGACACGGGATATAGGACATGGGATATGGGACATGGGGACATGGGACATGGGGGTATGGGATATGGGACACAGGGATACAGGACACCAGGACATGGGACAGTGGACACAGGACACAGGGATGTGGGACAATGGGACACAGAGACATGGAACATGAGACACGGGGATATGGGATGCAGGGACACAGGGATACAGGACATGGGACAGTGGGCACAGGACACAGGGATACAGGACATGGGACACAGGGATACAGGATACAGGACACAGGACCCAGGGCAGTCCGTGCACAGGGGATCTGGGAGCTCCCAGCACACACCTGAAGTTTCCCTGCATGCCCAGGTTCTCCCACCTCCACTTCTCCCTCCTCAGCCTCCGCTGGCACCGGGTGCTGCCTGTGCCAGGCACTCAGGGCTCCCTCAAGCTTTGTCACAGCACTGACAGCTGGGGCTAAATATGAGGCAGAAACCCCCACGAACTCGTGACTGATTTTGGAAAATAATCTTGCATTTAAGATTGGTTTGCAACCACATTGAGGTATTGAAGTTCTTTGCTGCCACCCCAGGACTGAGTGTTGCATTTCTGGCCAGTCCCTTGGCTTGTCTGGTTTTGTGGCATTACTTTCCTCCTATTTATACACAAAACCCACAGGTTTTCCCACCCTGTGGACCATGCCCTGATCTGTTCTCAGACACAATACTGACCTTGCTTGGTTTGTTCCCTTGAGTTTATCTTGCACAGATCAATAGATCTGCATCTTGGCTTTCACTTTCTGCCTTGTCACAGTCTGACTGCACCTCAGTCCTTTCCAAATGCCACTGCCTCCGAGTGTTTTTGGTGCTGTGTGCACTCGTCCTGCTCAGCTCTGAACAGTTCCACTGTCACTGCCTGATGACTGAGGGGAAAACCAACCCCACACTTGGGTGTGACTTTCAGACCCCCCAGTCATGTGAGCTCTGGGCTGCACAATCCACACACTGTTCTAGTTAAACTCCAAGTAAAGAAGTGCCTGGTTTTCCAGGCCTGATCACTTCCAGCTGTCTTCCAGCATTAAGTCCTCCACGGAACACTTAGGAGTGTCACAAAAATAGCTTTGAAAAATATGCAAGCCCAGGAATCCACTGGGAATGGATAAGGCTGGGGTGTACTTTTCCCTAGATTCCTACAGCTCCATCCCACAGCTCCTGTGCTGAAGATCAGTGTCAGGACAGTACTGCCCTGTGTTTACTCCTTGGAGACAGCATGGCTTCGTGGAGCCAAAGAAAAACAAGTGTTGCTAAATTTAAGCCTCAAGCTAAACCTCAGGTTCCTATAGAACCAGTTCCATGTCTCGGCTGTCGCAGCTGTCTCACTGCCCCTGTGTTTTCAGCTGGTTCAAATGTCTCTCAGGCTGGAAGAGCCTGAGCACCCACAGCTTTAGCATATGCTGATTCACTGATTGCTGTTCCAGGAGGACCAGGTAGTCAGGTTGACATAACATTTTAGCATTCTCTCTCTTGGCTATCTGTTACTGCCTCACTGAGCAGAGTTTTGTATCTGAAACGCTGCACAGAGGACTCTGGAGCAGCTTAAGGTGAGGAAACAATCTGACACAATTGATGTTCTGGTGAGGTTTCCCTGAAGAAGTGCAAAGGTGGATGTGGCTGCCCCAGCCCTGGCAATGTTCATTCCAGGTGGGATGAAGCCTTGAGCAACCTGCTCTGGTGGGAGGTGTCCCTGCCCAGGGCAGGGGGTTGGGGCTGGATCATCTCTAAGCTCCATCCCAACCCCTGAGCAGTCTATGAAAATGGCTCCAGGAATTAAAAAAGGCAGTGGAAGGTTGTGGGAGGAGACCATAATGCATTACTGAGTAGTAACACTCTTTTAATATCCTGTTGTGTTTTCAGAAGGTATTTCCAGACTAGTGGGGAAGAATCCTCAAATCCTCTTCTTTCAAATAAAGATTAAGAATTCCTGTTCTATTTTTACAGGTTATCTTATGAATGAAAGAGCTGAACAGATTGTTCATGAATTCTAGAGGGCACCTAGGTTGAAGCAATGGAGAGAATGGTACTAGTATGCATTTTATTTTTAGTCTGTAAAAAGACATTGATTTCAGGGGGAAAAAGTGTTCTTTCTGATTGCAGGAAGCAGCAGCAAATAAAGGAGAGAAACTCTCAGCCAGTTCCTAACCTACTAATGACTCTGTTCTGGCAAATCCTCTGGGGGTTCTGCAGGCTGTGATCACACCTTTCATTTCCTGACAGTCTCTGGTTCTCATTTGGGCTTCACAGAATACACAGTTTGTATTTTGTTTAACAAGCACTTTCCTTTGACTCGCTTTGTGGGAGAACATGCACCATGAGCCTCTTTCTGAGTGGGTCTTTCTGCTTATTGGCTGGATCTGTCTTCTCACTGATGGTTGGACTAGATGATCTTGAAGGTCTCTCCCAGCTTTGATGTGTCTGTGATCTCCACTTTGCCTCCCAGGAGCCGTGGAGATGTCTCGGAAGAGTCCCTTTGCCTCCTGGCTCTGTGCTATGCTCCACTGCTTTGGGAGTTACATCCTTGCTGACCTCTTGCTTGGAGAAGCACCAATTGGTTACTTCAGTAACAACTCCAGTGTCATCCTGGCCACAGCAGTCTGGTGAGTCCCTGCCACTTCACCTCAGTTCCCAAGCATGGGATGTGTACAACCATCCCGTGGGGAGGGAGATGTTCTCTTTGTGTGACGCACGTGGCTGGTCTTGCTTGGATTAACTGGGGAGAGAAGAGGTGGGGTGAGGTAGTCTCTGAGTCTCTTGCATTCCCAGTTTCCCTGACCAGTTGCCTAATGCTGTGATTATCTGGGCTGGGGCCAGGCCCAGGGCCAGGCACTGCTATTCATAGCAGCCACTGCTGAACAGAAGCCAAACCTCAGGAGCTGCAGCACCACACTGGTAACCACAGACAGAGAGGAGTGGAGATTTGGGGGCGTTTTATTCCCTGTGTTAGTGAAATGTGCACAGATTAACCCTTAATCTCCTCAGGGTGTGTGGGTTGTAGCTGCTTTTACATGACAGAATGAGCATGTCCTTCTCCCTGACATAACTCAGGCTAACACCACACCAATCAATCCTCCTTGTACATCCCAGACCAGGACAAACCAATGGATCCTTTCAACTCCTTGTGGTTTTGTTGCAGGTATTTGATATTCTTCTGTCCCATGAACCTCTTCTACAAGTGTGTCAGCTTCCTGCCCATGAAGCTCATCTTTGTGGCCATGAAGGAGGTGGTCAGAGTTCGCAAGATTGCAGCTGGAGTGCACCACGCTCACCACCAGTACCACCACGGGTGGTTCATCATGATGGCCACAGGATGGGTCAAAGGTGGCACCTGAGATCCCTGAGGGCAGCAGGGAGCAGCCAGCCCTGTGGGGAGGGACAGGGGGTCTGTGGTGGGTGGATGTGGGCAGCTGGATTCAGCACAGGTATTTATTCATACTTGCAGAGTGGTTGTCAGCTGAGTCATCATCTAACTTTCATGAGGCATGGAGAGCTGGAGTCATGAAATGTGGGAGTGGAATTCAGGAGTTCTGTCTCTTGTGTTCTGCTGTCTCTGACCTCTCCTCTGCCTTTCCAGGGAATTCTGTCAGTGTTGAAACAGCCCAGTCAGTTTTCCTTTAGCTTCTGTCTGCAGCAAGCACT